ATCCCTAAACTGCAATATATGACTTGGATACAGCAATTTATTTGATATGATGAATTTAGTTAGCGCATATAGAAATAAATTAGTATACATCAATTTTTACTACTATTTGGGCTGTTTTATTTTCCCACATAAATGGGATCTCTTAATACTCATTTTTATCTCCACAGATTTATTTGTAGCCACTACTAGTGTATTCATGATTCATAATGCTAAAGCATCTGAATTTACTTATAGTGGGCTTTGGTGCTGTCTCTGTCTTAAACAAAGTGTTTAACTTCCTTCACGCTTTGTTTGAGATAACTTTCTTTTGACTGGCTGCATCTCGCAACCAGAAGGTGTGATCAACAGGTGGGTGGGGCTTCTGCGTGCCTGAGATGATCACATTAGCAATATCTGCTCTCAGTGATGTCATATAGATGTAGCAGCAAGGGGAAAGTCTTTAGAGCAATCTGACGCTTTAGGCTCACAGGGATCACTTACACATATAGTACACTGACCTTGTTATTTAAAACTTAGACCATGTTTAATATCAAAATCCATCGTGTCATAAAACATCAGTATATATTTTTTGAGATTTTTCTGCCAACACCAAAAGTAGCTACTGAGGTACAAGTAAGCCTGATTGGGAATCACCACCAGGACAAGAAAACAGTGGTTCTCAAGGAATTAAGTTCAGAAAGGCTCACAAGAAGGATTATGGACCTCCAGTGTAATTACTGTAACTACTTGGGAGTACTATCTGAGAGAAAGGAAGAAGCCAGAGGAGGAAGGAAAGAACACAGGGAATGAATACAGACTGTAGCATCTTTCCCTCAAGGTCCTCTTACTACAGCTCCCAGGGTACCTTTCTCTATGTTCTTCAGCACCCCGGGCGACGGGGGTGCCGAGCTGATGTCAGTGATGTCAGACGTAACATCAGTGAGGTCAGAGGTCATGTCAGAAGTCATGTCAGAGCTAACGTCCGAGCTGTGCTCGGACTCCACACCATTGGATCTCGGAAAAACCTGACGAATTTTCTTGCGCAACTGAGGCGGTGTGCTCCGAGAGGCAAATCTATGGTAGGGTAGATGCAGCTGTGACAGCAGACTGGGCCTTTTAGTGTGGCTCACTTCACATTTGCTTGCTAAGAGGATGTTTGGAGGGAGGAAACGAGAATGTCAACATGTAAACTTCCAGCTTCTGGACCAAAAATTAGATCAGAGACACAATGTCAGAGGTCAGCTTACTCGTAGCGATGTTGGAGGCGGTGTAAGAGTCAGCTAAGCCTGACACCTGGCTGGCTATGCTGGCCTCACTGGCTCTACGGGTGCAGCGAAAGTGAGGAATCCCTGGTGATGTTGATGATGGATGCTGACCATCAACAAGAGTATGCGAGTGAAGGGTATCCACTGCGGATAAAGAGGAGTTATAGTCATATTCTTTATTCACATATGATCAATTATTTCTATGATTATGAATAATTCAAACACCAATATAAAATAATTACATTTTTTAATCACTCATGCAAGGAGAAACAAGTTGTAAATACAACATGTTACCTTTTGAGTTTTAACCATTTGATAAATTTAAGTCTCACATTCACTTTTTTAACTCTGCTTTTGGTTTCCTCCAGATATCTTCCTGCTTAGCTACTACATGTTCCACTATTTTCACCCAATAGTCAAAGAACTCTGTTTGCTATTTGCTGCTGAGCAGTTAGTGTAAAATTGCTTTTTAGTGCTTAATTTGTCTGAGAAGAGACAGGAGTCTGAAGTGGCAGAAAAATTAGAGTCATTAGAGTGAACCAAAATGATAAAACTGCAACCAGCTCGCTAATCAAATAATAGAACCTCAAAATGAATTCAGTGGGTAAGTACAGGTTTACCCGCAGCAGATGGCTGCATCTCCTCAAGTGCGGTTCTGTTGGATATTTCTTCCTGTTAAAAGGGATTTTTTTTCTCCCCACTGTCAGTAAGTGCTTACTCATAAAAGGTTGTCTGATTGTTGGGGTTTTCTCAATATTATTTTAGGGGTTTACCTTACTCTGCAACTTCCCTGTTGGCAAAACAGGTGTTTTGAACCCCACAAACACAAAAAGCAACTGAGCCATAACTAATGTTAAAGAGCCATAAACATCAACAGATGAATCAGTCAATATACTGGAATATTGTATTTTTTAATCACCAAATATCAGTAATGGTCTTAAAAAATCCTATATTGTTAGAAGCTCTAGTTTTAACCAAATCCAGACCACATTAGAAAAAAAAAATAACAGGATAAAGGAGATAAAGAGAACAAATACACACTCTCTGTGTTGCTCTGGGAGGTCTGCCAGTTGAGGACAGGCACAGGGATGGAGGTCTCACTGACAGTACTTTCCTGGTTGCGATGTGATGCTGTACTGCCAGACTCTATCAGAAGCTGGGGGTTACTTTGCACAGTTTCAACTGAGCCAGACAAGGGGTTAAAAAAAAGTCAACAACTTGTATTACATAAAGTTCTGCCGCAAAATGTCTCAGGAAGTGTGCCTTTCTTTTTTGTCTGTGTTTGCGTGTGTGTCAACTCACCCAAGAGAGCCGAATGTCCATCACCCAGAGGAAAGCGCTGATAGCGGGGGACGCTACAGGGAGGCAGCAGGTAGAACCTCTTGTCTAGGAGAGGCTCAAGACGAGAGGCGGAGGGGTCAGCTGGATGAAACATGTTGTAAACCTGCTGGCAGGCTGGACGCAGCGCAGACACTAGAGCAGGAAACACAGCAAGACGTTTTAAATAAACAGACTGGTGTGACTAGTAACACGGGACACTGTGTATATAAACCATAACTTTAGATAGTAGGCTGGAAAATACATTACAGTTTTACTGAGTTACATTGATGCAGTTCTCACATCATCGATGTAATTCTCTCCACTCCTTTTGGAGATCATTTATCTGAATTTCATTAGTGGGACCACACCTTGAAGCACACCCTTTCTCAAAAATGAGAAGCTGTTTGTTCTTGTTTTTGTGCCTTACCCTGTCTCCTTTTTTCAATTGATTCATTTCTCATTAGTACATTGGGATCTTTCCAGTCTGGGATTTGCCGCCAGTCCCCTCTGAGGCCCTGAGGCCTTCCCCAAACCTCAGCCTCAATTCATGCTCAAGTCATCTGCCATTTTCTACTATATCTACTGCTGTAAAACCTAAATGAGGATGTGGTCCCGGCTGAAATGCAGCTCTTAACTCTGTAACACACTTCCCCACTAACTTGAGAATTTCTTATTGTATTTGCACACACTGCTATTGTTTCTACCCATTAGTACCACACACATTTTGTTATTGTGTTGAAGCACTTCTCATCTGAATCTCATAACTAATCAAAACATTTTCCGTAACACTGAGCATTGCATTATTGTTTTTAATCAAATCCCTTCAAACTTCTTTCAAAGTCTGTATGAAAGACTAAGGCCAGTAACACACTGTCAGTGGAAGAACTGTTTTACTCAATCGTTTTGGTGCAATTCTCCCATCAGAAAAGTCACTGTCATTACTAAATTTGGATGAGCAGCTGACAAATCTGCAACAACTCTGCTCTGAAACTTGTACTAACAAGGTGTACTTAATAAAGTGGTCAGTGAGTTTGTACAGGATGTATAGTATACACATGTGTGTAATTGGCAGTGCCATGGCATTCACCTGTAACACAAGATTGTGAGTATTTATTTCTATTTGTTTCAACTAAACTTCTTCTGACAAAGTGTTTCTATTTGCTTTTACCCAAAGGACAATTTCACTGCTAACACCGAGGGTGTGTGAGTGGATTTGCTCTTTCACACATGTTTGAAAAAAGTTCCAAGTAGCTTGATTGAAAACACTAATGCCGTGCTGGACAGTATTCAAGAAAGTGACAGATGTAGAGTTCTAAGAATTATATAGGTTCGATCACTGGCTTCTCACAGTCCTTGAGCTCTCTAATGCATCCATCACAATATGAATGTGTGTTTATGTTAGATAGAAAGCACATATACAGAAAAAAGTGCATGTGTGTATGAGGCAAGTTTTTGGTGCTCAGGTAAAGTAGAAGCACTATATAGGAACCAGTCCATTTAGTACTAAATTATAAGTAGAAACAATAGCTGATGTGAGAATTGCACCAAAGTGATTGATAAAAACTGTAATAGGACTGTCGTCTTTATATAAAGCTTGACAACTACTTGCTGATGTAAACTTTCCACTGGTCTTGGTCTGACTACACCATAGACTCTCTAGTGTTTGTCACAGTGTCTACAAACAACAGCAATAAAAAACTATGCCCATATGAAAAATAAAAGAAAATGTGTATAACCACAAACAATCAATGTTTATATCCCATCATAATCACTTTGTTTTACACTTAAACTACTATAGTATGTCCTTTTTGAAATCATACCTTTATCCATATGAATCTTTATGCCCTAATTTGATGTGTGATTGTACTGTCATATTTCGAGAGTATGGAGGATACTGTACTTTTGCCAAAGTGGCATGTTATTTAGTTGATAGATAAGAATATCTTCACCGGTGGTAATTCCAGGACATTTTCAAGGCAAGCAGCACAAAAATATTTGACTCTTTATGTATTTTATCAGTATAAGAGACCGATAAAACTGCATCTACCAACAACTTATTTTCATAATATTGAACGTTTTAAAGTTATTCCGATATTACTTTGGAAAACCATGAGAAATAAATGGCTGTGTAAACAAAGAAATGAAACTAAACATCCGACAGCAACTGTAATGATTTCCTTTTTTTTTTTTTAAAGTCCACATGTTAAGCCAACAGCTGCAGGTCAGTAATCTGTTTCTTTAAAACCTCAAAGGACACAGTGCAGTCAGAGTGTGGCTGTGTAAGCACTTCTATCACATATTTCTCTTTTTCAGCCTTTGAGATCAAAAGCATGACTTCTAACCTCTGACACCTGCCTCCCAGCTGCTGGAGACATGCATTTCACACAGGAAGAAACACGATGTGCTACAAATAACCACTTCCTACTTTGACCTGTGACGAACATCAAATTAGACCAACAGCAAGATAAATGATAGGAGCATAAAAAGGGAGAAAATCCTTCCCCACCATCCAGAGTGGGCACCACAGTCTTCCTCAGTGCAAGCACCAGCCCGAGTGGAGAGCCGAACAGGAAGAAGTCAGTCACTTCAAATTCAAACTTCCCCAGAGATCCTCCCTCCAACATGGTGCTGTTGCTGGAACGCCGGGATCCAGCCTCTCTGTGGAGAACGCTGGCGTGAAGGCTGCCCAGAAAGAAACAAAATACACTAGAAGAAATCTTTGAAGGATTCGTGGCATTTGTTTTAAGTTCTGTGTCTCACCTAGAGAGGAAGGCTTGGTGGTGTTTGATGGTGTCCAGCTCGTACGTGGAGGAGTCGCTGCGTTTGCGTGGTAGCTGCTTCTTGGGGTCGTCAGGCCCAGAGCAGTGAGGGATGTCAATGTTGCTGCGGCTCAGATGGCGGCTTCCTTCGAGGGATGGCGAGGAAGAAGAGACACTGTTTATGACGATACCAGGAGAAAGAAGTTCTGTGTCCTGAGAGAGAGGGATGAAAGAGGATACTGTCAAATATGTGATCGAAATTATTCCCACAAGTCTTTAGTTTTTTGGAATGACTTAGGTGTTTGTAATAGCCTTATAGTTTTATGGATAGCACTCTCAAACTGTAGGTTATTTTGCCAGGACTATACTCACTATAATTTGGCAACTATCTGGTGAATGGTAATAAAATTTTGCACTAACATTCATAGTCTTGAGATGCCTCACAAAAAGAAATATCCAGAGTCTTTGTCTAGCATAAATGAGACCAGCAGAAAAACATGTTACCATAGTGAGCTGCACCTGCAATGTGACCCCATTTATTTTTAAGTTGCTGATTGTTTATGTTTTAGAAAATCAAGGATGGTTTAGCTTTTACAGTTGCTATTTTGTAACAAGTTACAAGATCATTGCACTTGAAGGACTACAAGATTTTGCTTTAACTTTAGCTGTACGGATATCAAAAATTGCCTCAGTACCCTTTAAATGTGACATAAGATCTGTGATAACTCTTTACCTTTTCTTCATGCAAGGCTGAAATTGTATGAATTGTAATAGCCTTTAACTGAGTTTATGACCAGAACATGCACCTCCAAAACTGATGTCATACATCACTGCATTACTTCCACTTTGTATGTATTACCTACTAATAGATGTAATACATTAATTTATGCTAAACTAGGCTGCTCTAGTTTAGCATTCAGTTCCAGGCACCGCTGTGCCACACTGTGTATTGTCTTGCAGACCCACTAGCATGGCTTCACAGTCTTGTTACATCTAATGTACACAATTTCTTCATATATTTTGCCCCAAGGGTCACACATTTAGCACACTGTACTGCATTTGACAACATATCACTTACAGTAAAAACAGGATAAGCCACACCATTGCGCGCTCATGGACATACACAAATGAAAATTGTCAGATAAGTTCATATAAAGCAAGGATGGAGTTGAATGTAAGAATGCAATGCATTGAACATGTTGGCTAGTTTTCCACGTATTTTAGCATAGCTAAACACAGCTTCTGGTATCAAGAATGGACTGTATATAAAAGATGGATGTGGCCACTGTTACATTACATTGTCTTTAGCTAAGCATTTTAGCCATCGGCATCTGAGCTACTGAACCTAAAAATAACTAAGAAGGAGTGAAGCTGACCGATAAACCGAGAGACACTGAACAGTCCTTCTTGACACCAGTGGGGACCATAATGTACATCGGCAGGTTTGTTTTTTTAAGACTTTTTAAGACTTCAGCATTCGTTTCATTTTTTAGACCCAGAAGCTACATCCATCTTTTATATACAGTCTACGGTATCAACAGCTTGGTATGTCATCAGAGAATTGAAGTTGATACCTGGACACTAATGGCACTGCCCCGTCTGCTGCTGTTTTGGCTTTCTGATACCGTCACAGAACTGCTGCACAGCGCATCAAAGCCCAGAATACCCCCAACACAGTCCCCAATAACACACACCTGTATTATAAAGCAAAGCACAAAAACATGAGTATGCACACTAAATCAGCCTTTATCTGTACAAGCAGTGCCAATCCAAAAAAAACAGAAACCCAACCTGGCCATTAAAAGAAGCTCCTTCCAAAGATCTGATGAAGTCGCTGTAAACCTGATTGGCTCGTAAGATGACGGTTGCCACGGCATCTTGGTACTGTGGTGCAGAAGTAGCCAGAAGAGGAAGCGCAGCCAGTGGAATGTGGTCCTGACTGCTGGATAGACAGCTCTCATCGTAGCTGTAGGGGCTAAGACTGCAGAGCAGAGAGAAGTGGCTTTATGTCTATAATCAGCTTGCACGTGTATGACAGCATGTTATTAAAATGCTGCTTGCTCACTTGGACACAAGCGAGAATGCTTCGACACACACAGCAGGACAGGGTACCATTCGAATGGCAATGCGGCCCAGTGCTGAAGGGTAATGGACCCTCATCACAGCCTCAAAAGCTCCACTTAGCGTGTTTACATCTCCCTGTTTGCTGTTCTGTTCTCCTTCAAGACAAGCAAAGGCTCATTATCAATCATTGCCATAAACCACAATCATAAGGCCTTGCACATTTTGTTTGAAAATTAAAAGACTTACTGTACTGCATAAATGAACATCTCCTATACCGATTGTGTTATTGGTGAGGGCTCGTTCATTTAAATAAATATATACATATAACATATATAACACTTTCCTAGTCTTAGCTAATCATAACTAGCCACTATAATTTTGTTTTATTCACTTTTCACATGTTGTTTGTTTTAACTATCTGACCTAGCTAAAAACAAACTGCTTTTCATTATTTAGTTGTTTTTGTTTTCTTTAAAATGACATATTTTATAGTGTAAAAGTATTTCCTGTAAATATCCTGGATTGGCAATTGTTGTTATTTTTTCTATGACTGTATGAAGTGTATCTAGCCGTTAATGTCTTTGTGCTTAGATTATTTCATTTGAAAACTTTATAAGGCTTTAAGAGATCCTATCACCTGGTACTTAGTATGAAAAAAAAAATCATTTTTCAATCTTTTCTATCCTTGATCAAATTTAATAATGGTTGAATTTTTTTGATAATAAATTAATTTCCTTTTTTTTTCTAATTATTATTGATTATTGATGTAAATGATATTTTTATCACAGAAAAATGAAAACCTAACTATGCTAATTTTAGCTTTAAGAATGTATTCTTATTATTTTCACTCTTGTACTAAACAATCAGTTAATCCAAAAATAGTCTATAATGTAATCTATAATGAACTTAGTAGTTAGTTGGATTGTGGGAAGAATTTTGAAGGTTTGACTTAGGTTTTCTGTACCAGAGCCAGTGTCCAGTATGTTGCCTCCATGCAGGACCAAAATGAGTACATGGATTTTGGAAGGCTGTACACACTGCTGAGATGAACAATCCTGCAGGTAAGAGAAACAGGAAAAAAGCAGGAAAATAAAGGTGGGCTGAAAGGGATAGAGGCAAAAGGGAGTAAAGGTATACGCTGCAAGCAGTATTACTTAAAAGGACAAGGACATTATGGAATGCAAGAGGAGGAACTGGGAACTGGACCTTCAATGGCAAAGATTCAATTAGTTATCTGTAACAAAAAAAAAAAAAAAAGCAAGAAAAGACAACATTTTGTGCTTAAATGAGCTATGAGTTCAAAATAATCAAGTCACACTTTGCTTTAGAGAAGACCAGTGGTGAGCTAGCTACATTTACATTTCATTTTGAAGAGAAAAAATAAACCCTAACCAGATTTTTCCCTTTTAAGGACACAACACTAGACAAGAGGAGGAAAAATCTTAAACGTCACTCCTGAAATTAAATTCTAGGGTCAAGCTTTATTTTGGATTCTAGCTTCACTTCTCTGGCGCGGTGACAAGACGCTATATTGTAGAAGGAACAGTACCATCTACAAGCCCTTTAATTATAGGTGTCGGTGTAAGAAAGACAGGAATTAGATGCAAAAACACTGAAAAAATGGCACCTCTATCTGTGTCTCCAGATTGACGGCATACTCCCCGACCGACTCCTGGTACAAGGTTTCTGTGAAAACAAATTATGGACTTCATCACTGATGACAGAAGAGATGGCCTAAACTATAAATTCTGAGTCCTGTAGTCCTCAGGATACACTGGGCTTCATTTACAAACAGAGTAAACTGTGGCACTGTTCCCTCTGCGGGGGGGCCGGGGGGGGGGGGTGATGTTTTTGTATTAATTCTCCAGTCCTCATGTGTCACTTCGTTCAGTTAAAAAAAATGAGAAAAATAAATAGATAAAACATGATGGCAATCATCGAGGGATTCAAAATGTTTGTAGCCCACCAACCAATGGGTGATGTCATGGTGACTATGTCCATCTTTGATATACAGTCTGAGTTAACAAAAAGTGCATAGACATAAATCTTAAACTGTGTGTGTGTCCATAAGCTTTCCATTTGGATGTTTGCCCAGTAATTGCCGTCAGTCTGATGTAATTGCTGTCATGCTGGTCACGTAGGCCTTGTCTTCCTTCTTTTTTCTGGTCTTTTTTTCTTTTTCTTCCTTCTTTTTTTCCTAGTTTTCTTGGCATGGACTTAAATGTCAAACCTTTCTTATTCTTAAGTGATCCACAGTCCCTATCTCAGGGGAAAAACATCCAACTCCTGGTTATTACAGCCCCTTTGTCACTTCACAGGAAACACTTCTGTGCCTCATCCACATGGAACACTAATGTTTCAGTTCTTCACTTTTGAAATCTTTTTGATTTGTGCTTTAGTAGGCATGCTTCTCATTGAGAATACCACCTTTCAATACAAGATAAATTTCCTTAATGCACACAAGATGATAAGAACAAAATTGGTAGGTGCATCTCTTTCATGACTTTATGTATATCAGTAAATGAAGCCCAGTGTTTTCTTGTTCTGTTTTGGTACACAAAAGCATATTAAGAGTGAGGCAGTCACTTACCTTGTCCTTCATCCACTTCTATTGTTTCTATTTTGTCCATCAGATCATTTGAGCTCCACTTGGTGATTTCCTTGGAAAACATGTCTTCATTATCAGAAAAGTCCTCTGCAAGATACACAGAGGGATTTTAATATAATGGAGGCACTTCTCTGATCTGATCAAAGCAGTCAGCCTCATAACACAGATTAAATAACCTAAATTACATCAAAGGTGACTCCTGTTTATGCACTCTTTGAAAAATCAGTCTGTCTATTATGGTTCTCTAAAGGCTGATTCCCCTGAAACCTCAAACCTCCTCAAAGTCTCCACAGGTCTTTTTTAAAGATGTGCCTGCAAAGTCCTCTTTCAAAGGTCATTGTTATTCCATCACACCCAGTACTGAGCAAAATGTAGGCACTTTTGTTTGCATTCACTTTCACTAGGCAGGACCTTCAGAGAGGCATGTGAAGGTTTCTGAATTTACCCCCTAACCCTCCAGGTTTATGGGTACGGTTAGGGATGGAATTGATTTTAGCAACATGGTAAATACACAAGTTTTTCCAGAAACTAGAAGGCGATCGATCTAATGAAGTCTAACACATTCATTTGAAAATTACAATTTTTCTCATAAAAAATGTATTTGGATATTCCAGAAACACAAAAAATTATACATTCAGGGTGGAGCTAAGCCAACCTTTCCCATGACACTTGCCACAGGAGGGTTGTGGGTGTCCTTGTGAATGGCAGAGGTTGAGTTAATATGTTATCTGAAAAGTCTGGTTTGCTTAACAGAGCTGTCCTTTTTAAGACTTAACAGATAGTAAAACAGATTGCAGCACTATTTAAAAAATACTTGATTTATATTTATATATAAATTTATATATAAATATTTGATATAAAGGCAGATGACCTTTAAGTTCAAAGCAAGGTTATACGTTACATAATTATTATAGTTAACTAAAACTAAACTAAAAACTAGAAAGAAAATTAAACTAGCTGAACCTTTCAAAAGGTTCTGGGGTTTTTTGTAATACCTGTTCTGATTTTCATGTCTCTGACATATGCCCTGACATGTGACATAATAATAATTATAATAATTACCAATCAGAGTCATTTAAATCCCTCTTCTACCTCATTCTGATGCTGGGTTTTAACTTCAGCAAGACATCTTCACTATGTCTATATATCTCAGTGCACTGGATTGCTGCCATGTGAGAGATATTTCCATTAACAAGCGATTAAACAGGTGTACCTAATAAAGTGACCGTGTATATGGCATTAGTGCACAGTAATAAGCTGTTGGCACACACTATTATACCCTTTTCTCAGAAATCACACATTGCTAATAACTTCATTCTAAAAACGAATATAATAAGCAAGTTAAGACATTTAAAAATTAATTTGTGAGACTGTCTGGCAGAATAATTTCTCTGGCTTCAACGTTAATAACATTCATTAATTAACATTTCAGCATTCATTCTTAAGGATAAATACCCACAGGGATAAACGAGAACATTAAAAGAAGCAAGCAGGATTAACAACCTTGAGTTTCTCCATTGTTAATATTTATCATCCCAAAGACACACAGATATGAAAACACATCAATTCATCTTTCAAGATAATGTCCAAATACTAAATTGAATCTGTGGGAACTGCTGAAATGCAAAAATCTTTCTTGCAATAGCCTTGCGATAGAAATTGCGCATGGGTACAATACTGAATAAATTCATTGGCTCGTGAGCTGTTTATAATGTGTTTTATTCTGCTGATCTTTACCATGAGCATCAAAGAACTCATCATCTGTGCTGTCCTCAGAGTCCCGGGCAATGCTCTGCATCCTCCACTCTGAAATGCTCTGATGAGATGGACTTCCTGTACAAACAAAGATTAACGTTGGTGTTTCACAGCCTTACCTAAAATTATGGCATGACCAATATTTTAAATGAGTACTTGCACTCACGTCAACAGTCACACTGTAATTCAAGGTATATCAATACAAATATTGTACCACAGACTGTGGTAAAAGCCAGTGAAACACACAGAAATCAGAAGGACATCCTCACCTCCTCGCTTTGATGACCTGTTGGAGGATCTAGAGGACGTTGACCATTGTTTTGTGAGCTCCCCTCTTGTCTCAAGTGAATCTCCAAGCTTCCCTCCTGCTCCTTCTGCCTCTGCAGTCGAGCCCACTGTCTCTGCTCCCTGCTCCTGCTCTTGGCTAATGAAGGAGTTGTTGGCTTCTGTTCCCCCTCCTTCATTCAGGCTGTATTGGGCCATCTTCTTTGCTAAGGCCAGCTGGGTCTCCAGCTCCAGCTGCCTGATGTCCTCGATAGTCAGGCCATACCACTCGTCCTGCCAGCACCACGCCTGCCGGTGGGCTCGAACCATGACTTTACGAAGGCCTGCAGGAACAGCAACCAAAATTTAGCGCTAATTGCCCTTATTTTAAGGGCTCAAATCTACAAAAGTGGATTAGCTGAATATCCGTATCATTATAAATCCAATTTACTTTCTTCAGGTATTTACGATTCTCGGTCAGCTATTTGTTATAGGTTTGTCTTGTGTCTTCATCTTGATTTAGCTGATTTTTTTTTACTGCTTTTTTGAAATATAAGTGATCTTTACTCATCTTTTTTGGAAAGAGAGCAGTGATGGCAAATGTTACGAGTTCAAAGTATTGGAGATGGATACCAGAGGAAAACCACAATAACAACTCTGGTCCGGCCGAGTCAAGTCAAACGATGATTTTAATGAACACACGTGTGGGAGATCCACACTGTACGCAGTCACCCCAAAAACCACACAACAATAGTTTTATGAAATCAGGGTATTAGAACGTCCCCGTCATGCGTAAAGCAGGTACAATACAATCAATGTTGACTACTTTTGACACAGCAAAGGAACATTCTCTCCGTCTCGAGGACAGGCACTGACTCCCACTTATCTCCTGGAGCCAACTGTCCCTTATGGAGACACAACATTGCAGCTACAAGGTTTTGCAGATTGTTAAGTTGATCTCTTACCTAAACCTGAACTCACTGACTGTGTGTGTGTGTATTCTAACCTCAAATGCACCCTATTTTACCTCTTAGCTCGTGTGTAATACTCTGAATCAGGTATGTAATATTAAATGAATGTTGTTTAATCAACTGCCACTACTTAAAACTTAACAAAAGATATAACTGAATAAAAGATCACAAAGAATAACATGATATCAGTGTTATGTAAGCGCGTGCGGCCTTCTATGCTCGAAGTCACTCCCCTCCATAGAACAGCCAGTCATCCTGCTGACTGTAGCTTTTACCCCTTATTAACTTGAGCACAACTCTATAATGAGCACCAAACTGCAATATGTATAAAGATGACCACGGTTACACCTGCAATGAAAGATTATATGATCATTCTGACACCTGTAAATAGAAGATTAACATGAGGTTATAACAATAACTGTAATACACATTTTAATGTAATGTCAATAGCTTCAATAAATGTTTTAATGCAATGCTTGTTA